TCACCATGAGCGGCTTAGGGCGGGAAAAATCATCCGTCACCGACGGTGGCGTCATAGACGCAAATGAAGCAGACATCTTCTGCTGCAAGTGCTATAGCAGCGCTGGTTCGTAATTTGAAAACGCCTCTAGACGCGCACCGATTGCTCGGGGCCTTGCTCTACAAGATGTTGCACGCTCTCAGGGCCAAGCAAGGACATCAGCTTGTTAAGCCCGTCCTGCATGCCCTTGGGCAAAGAGAAAAATTCCTCTATCGTCACCTAGGATCGGTCTAAACGACTCAGGTGTAAATTGACTACAAGTGCTACCAAGTGCAGCGGGGCTGCCGTAGCTTAGCGCTTGATGAAGCGTACTTTTGAACACCGACCTTTCGTTCTTTACAAGAACCAAGTATGACTTAGCAGATCGCAATCCGCTTACTCCAAGAGTGATTATTGCCTTCCCAAGGCTAATCGACTTTTCCGCTTAGATTCCAAACTGATTTTTATTTATTCTTTTATCCTAATTTTGAAAGTTTAGATTTTTCTAAATATATATAGTAAAATCTGAATACATGCATAACTACTGGCTACCTAGCCACAGTGGTCACCCCATGCCTATCTCGTGTGACACACACCCCTGTTACCAGGGTACGTGTAACCCCGTTGCACTCTATATCATGAAGATCGTTTCGTATGTCCATAATTTGTACTTGCAAGATGAAAGGGCCTTTTGCAGTCTTATTACTGAGCTTGAACAAGACCGTCTGCTTTTACTGCTCATGTTCCAATCAGCTATAGTAATTACAAAGATATATTTTCTGTTCATCAGTACATTTCCACTTTGTTAAGCTATCATGTTCCGACTGAGCTAATTATACGTCTCAGCTAAGCATACGGGGTAGATAATAGTACGTCTTACCTTTTCATGGTAGGCTCTGGCATTGGTGTATCTCTGGTACCGGAGATGGTCACGGAGTTATTACAAGATTTGTCAATCGTATTAAACAACATGAACAGGTTCACATGGATGTGGACCACACATTTATATACACACTAGTAAACATACAAAAGTTATCCGCCATGATCCGGCAATCTCGGCGCCACGACTGGCAACCTAAGTTCGAGATGGAGTTTGGCCTTCTAGCTATCGAGCGAGACCCTGTCTCGAATGATGTGCTGCTAGCCATGTGCGGCTTCTGCAAGGCATTTGGACGCGAAGGAAAGTATGACCAGATGGTACAACAGGATCAAGAGTTTGCAAACGATACAAAGAAGCGGCGCAGGCGCTCTCTGACTACAACTAAGTTCTTTCGAGCTTTTAGGATAGACAACATCCGCAGTCATTTACAGGGAGCGCACCCACGTCGATGGACAGAGTATGACCTACTTCCAAAGCTCGATAGTGTGCGGACTCGTTATTTGCAAGGAGAAGTGGAGGCCTTTGATCACCTCCCGTTAGTGGATGACGTGGTGCTTGCAGGGTCGGCGCTCAATACAGAATCAGATGCAACATACGTTAGACTGCGGCAGCCGGCCCAGGCTTCGCCAAAGAGTGAAGCACAAAATGTGGTATCACAGTCTGCACATAATGGGTACATCTCGGCTGGATACAGCGCAAACTATAAAAGCAATTTGCAGGTGACGGCGTCCTTGGTGAGCTCAAATTTGTATGTTCTTTTGATCGCTTTTCGTGGTGGCTTACGTGTTGTTATTGAATTAATGTTATTCATGCGGCGATAGACTTACAGTGGTAAGTCATACAAAGCTCTCCTCACATTTAGCCTAGTTGTACTATCCTGTATTGGCGTGGCAATATTATGTATCTACAGGTAGTGCTAAGGGTGCGGCGGTATCAGTTAATAAACGAAAGTCAAAGTTTGATCACGAACGACATATGGCCGAGCGAATCGCATTGGATCGCGAGCGACTGGAATTTGATAAAATGCGGTTCAATAAGGAGGTTGAGCTGCGCGAGCGTGAGTTGGCGCTACGAGAGAAGCAGATGGATCAGCAGATTGCTCTGCAAGAGAAGAACTGTGAGGCGAATCGCGAAAGTGCGCAGATCCTGAGCGCCAAATTTTATCGCCTGGCCGAAGTTCTGAAAGACGTAATCACAGGAACTCGAAATTGTTCGGAAGAAGCTTCTATGGTTTAGAGACAATATTTTGATTGGTTGATATTTTCGTAAGGGTTGTTTCATATAGTTATTTTTACTAAGATGAAGCGCGACCTCGTTTTTCCCCAAAAATAGACTCTTAGTCAGGCACTGCTTGATATATAATAAACATTTAAGCATCCGTAATAGCGGAACCTTTCTCAAAAGGACGTATTTTTTTTCGCTTCAAATCCTTTTTTTGCTTGCTAACTTCTTCTACCTTGATCTTGTCGATGGTGGCGTCACGAAGTTTTGCTTGTATACCTTTGTCTTGAAATGCAGAGCCAATCTCGTGCCTTAAACCAGCCTCTTCTAACTTCTCGTCTGTAGCAATTGCTGCAGATGTGCTTAACTCTCCGATATCTCTCATGTTTATTTCAACCACAATCCCTTTTTGGTTCCTATCGGCCATATGCACACGCTCTTTCTCAAGGACCACGGCCATGTCAACAACCGCAACTTCTTTACTCGCAAGAGCATCGACTACAATCTGAAACGCATCGTCCTTACCCTCTTCATCCCTGTCAACTGCAGTATGAGTGTTTTCCGTGTCCACTTCGACTTCCGTAAGAGCATCCTTTAAAGCATGCAAGAACCCGTCAATTTTCGATTCTGGGTCCTGCAAACTCTCCAAACATCCAGCAGGAACGCATGTTTGTGACGTCGTTCCTCCTTCGACGTCAATGTGACACATCTTCGCTTTTGCATCAGACGTCACGTCAACCTCTTCCAACTTCTTATCATTCCCACTTTGAGCACTTTCCGTTCCGTCTTCAGCATCCATTCGAGGTCCAATACCAACTTCTGAAATATGTTTCTCCTCTTCTATCAAATCGACATTTTTGATAAATCCCAAAGCTAACTTCAAGTCCTTAGAAACGTCGATTGCAGCATCGTTAGTTGGCTCAATTTGTGTAGGTTTGACCGTAGCCGTCATCACATCGTGAGTTATCATCTTTTTCGTCGTTGCATTGCCCTCTTTTTCACCACGTAGCGACAGCCCAGCTTGAACCAATCGAGAATTCGAAGCCCCCGACACTGATCGGGGCAGCCCAGGTATGCTTCGGGAATGTTTTACACGAATGCGAACATCTTCAAAACATTGAAAGTCTTGCGCCTTGAGCGGGTCAGGTGGGTTACGATAGCACGGAATGAAATAATCGAAGGATCTAAAAGTCACGGCCACAGTGCCCGCGTCATATACAGATATAAACTGCTTCTCGCACACGTCAACGTTCGAGGTAGTAGCACATCCCCAGTAAGCTACCCAAGCAACGCTCCCATTTGGCTTCAAATTAACTCCATCCAAAGCAACAATCAATTCTTCATTAATCATGGCAAATGTCGGGTCAACCCGGAATATCTTAGGTGCAGGGAAAGTCAGGTCATATAGTCGGGCAGGCACATCTATCATATACATTGCCGCCATCAATACCATTAAATACTTTGCCGGTCGACGATAATAATTTAGAAGCAGCCACAGGTTCAATACTAGAAGTACTGCATCGATGACCACAGGCACGCACAACTCTAGTGCAACAGTACTTTCCCATTGCAGAAGTGCTGCATGACAAGTCATCGCCGCGCTTTGCACTTCAATAATCTGTGCGTTTATTTTGATGTAATTTTCATTAACGTCAAATTTTTTTGGAAGCTCTCGACATATTGTCCAGTAAAGCGTCACAAATCCAAACACCATGAAGATCACATTTACCAGCGCACAGCAAAAGAGTTCCTTCATGGAGTGACACCCCAACGGCCAAAACCTACGCGAGACAAAATTAACATACAAATAAAGATTAGCTTTGCACTTGCGCGCAACTAATGTTATTTACCCATAGCGTTTGTGCTTTAGAAGGGGGGCGCAAAGGATAAAAAGTGGCGTGAAGGTTACGACCAGCAGTGACCAGAGCGTCGAGTGGAATAAGTTAGATGAATCAGCATAGGCAGTGTCTTCGCTACAATTATCTTCGCTTTCGCTGTCTGGATGTTCTTGCACGTACTGATCCAGAAAGTCCCTCCAGTTAGGGCGTCGCTTGAGGTTCTCCAGCCGTTCCTCGATGTACTCAGGTGATCCCACATCGAGCGGTGGCAGAAGGGGATTACTATTCAGTGAAGGCAACGCAATATTGTCGCCGGTATTGGGATAATTGTTGCGCTCGCCCTCAGATTCATCCGGTGCCCGCAGCCGCAATCTCATCGTCTTGTGGATTATTACACTTTCATTTGTTGTTTTTGTTATTGACTTCAAAACCACATGGTGAGAAATCGGAAAAAGATTACTGTATTACTGGATGGATCACAATCATAGTCTATAGGTTTCTTTTGATTATTTGCTCAGACATTTAAAACCAATTCAATCAGTAACAAGATTTCGCCCCACTCTTGCCACAGTGTCGGCCTTTGAAGATTAATCAGCATGGGCGACAGCACTCGATAGCTCACACAAGATAGTAATGACGAAAATGCAGGCAGCAACCAAAAAATTTCTCAGGTCCTCAGGCTGCCTGAGTTAATTTGAATTGCGGGTTTGAGTCCCTTTCAAACCAAACTGCGTCCAAACCACAGTTTCCATACTACAGATGATCGACCGCAGCTTCAATTGACATCCGATATGCTTACACTTATAAGAACAAACAAACAAGAAGAAAGGGGCATTTTAGCAAAATTAGAACAGGTTTCTCTGAGAAGGTAAGTACATATCAAAATTCATCTGAGATTCACGTACATCTTGTAGAATCGGCTATCAAATTAATGTGGGCTGCGTAAGCAAGCTCTTTGATCTCATGCAAAAAAGCTTGATGATATTACTAAGACTGATAAGGCCAATTTGCAAACGGAGAAGAAATCTGTTGGCAGAAATTACGGCTCAAACAATTTTTCTCAGCATTGGTCACATAGGGGCTCGAAATCTGGACCGCAGCGTTATTAGCACTGTGCTCTACCGTCTGAGCTATACGACCGCTCACGAGCGTGCAAGCACACGATGGGTATACAAACTGTAACGGGGTTACACATACTGTGGTAACAGGGGTTTGTGTCACACCAGATGGGTATAGTGTGACCACACCCAAACAAGAATACGGTACGGGGCTGGATAGCCAGTAGTTATACATGTATTTAGATTTTACTATACATATTTAAGAAAATCCATGCATTTAAAATTAGGCAGCTTTGCCGCAGATAAAAAAAATAAAGTCAGTTTTGGATTTAAACGGAAGAGTTAATTTTTATTACAAAAAGCAGTAACGAGATGCAAATGAATGCGGGATCTACTTACCGCATTGAAAAAAGACTTGTAGCTGTTAATAGTAGCCGGATGTTCAAGCAGTGAGATAACTCCTTTATTGCTGTTGAATGTAATTTATTATCACGATGTAAGAGATTATTTACGTGCAGCTGTGAGAAGTAACTGGTATGTGAGTAAGAATGATGT